CAGACCATGAGATTTCTTTTTCTAGGTCAATTTACTTCAAGAGTCAATTTACTATAAGAGTCAACTTAGCATGGATTTTTATATTTTTAGTCCTGGGGATCCATAATGACTATATATTTAAAGTATTTATATATTTCACTTAAATTAAAATTTTAAAAGCAAAATATAAATATTCTACGTAACCATGTGAAATCCCAGGAAATGTATCCATAGTTGTAAAAACTGATGTCTCTTAATAACTTCCCATTCTCATTTCAAAACATTTTGACACAAGTAAAACTGTTTTTTTTATTTTTTCAACTTTACAGAGGCATAATTTACAAATTAAAACAAAAAGTATTTAAAGTGTACATTGTGATGATTTGATATATGTATACATTGTGAAAGGATCCCCCCTCATCTTGCTAATTATCATCCATCACTTTAAAACCTTCGACAGATTACTTTGCTCCTTGTAGAATAAAAAAAAGGCATAAACATCAAAAACTTGATAAATTCCAATTCTCTCTTACTGGTGTAAAAGCAGTTATAATGTACAAACTAAACTCCTCTGTAAAATCCATCTTAAAAGAATTCTAACACATACAATACTCTTGCGGGAGGAGGAGGCTGTCATTCTATTGTGTGACAGCACTAGCAAAGAGAACCATCATATCCAAGGCAGGGAAAAGGTGTGTGCTATTTTTACATAACTTTTAAAACAGTATTACATGCTTGGTCTCTCAAAACTGATGTCTCTTAATAACTTCCCATTCTCATTTCAAAACATTTTGACACAAGTAAAACTGTTTTTTTTTATTTTTTCAACTTTACAGAGGCATAATTTACAAATTAAAACAAAAAGTATTTAAAGTGTACATTGTGATGATTTGATATATGTATACATTGTGAAAGGATCCCCCCTCATCTTGCTAATTATCATCCATCACTTTAAAACCTTTGACAGATTACTTTGCTCCTTGTAGAATAAAAAAAAGGCATAAACATCAAAAACTTGATAAATTCCAATTCTCTCTTACTGGTGTAAAAGCAGTTATAATGTACAAACTAAACTCCTCTGTAAAATCCATCTTAAAAGAATTCTAACACATACAATACTCTTGCGGGAGGAGGAGGCTGTCATTCTATTGTGTGACAGCACTAGCAAAGAGAACCATCATATCCAAGGCAGGGAAAAGGTGTGTGCTATTTTTACATAACTTTTAAAACAGTATTACATGAATTACTTGCATGTAAAGCATTCATTTCTTAAAAAGTATTTCAAAACATGAAGTTAAATGTTAAAAAAATATTTTTCCATGAAGTGAAGATGAATACAAGGCTTAATGATAAAGAAACTAAAGATGGATAGATGCCATCTTTTTTTTTAAGATATGTTTTTATTGATTTCAGAAAGAAAAAGGGAGAGGGAAAGATAGATAGAAACATCACTGATGAGAGAGAATCATTGATCAGCTGCCTCCTGCATGCTCCCTACTGGGGATCTTGCCTGCTACCCAGGCATGTGCCCTAACCCAGAAACGAACCATGACCTCCTGGTTCATGGGTTGTTGCAGAACCACTGAGCCACAACAGCTGGGCAGATAGATGCCATCTTTTGGCAATTTATGATATTAATCACCTGATGATTCATAAGGGGTCAGGTAATTTGTAGATTTAGAGACACTGATAATATATAGAGAGACAAGAATTGCCCTAAAACTATAAATGAAGATATTTAAAGACGTTTAATTGCATTCTGAGAAATGTTTTACATTTTAGAAATGAATTTACTTATACAATGATAACTTTGAACATTTTGACTATAGTCACACTTTAAAATATTGAAAGTTCTTACAACAAAGGAGCATTTGATATTTAAAAAATAATTGATAAATAGCATCTAAGCATAGACTATTTAGAAAACATAGTGTTACCTATTTTTTGTACTTGAAAATGACATTATTTATCCAAGTGGCCAGAGTTTGCATTTTGAGTGCTTTTCTCCCAGGGCTGGAATAAGTGCAAACTCCAGCGTGGACTAGAGAGAGCTTTTAACCACATGAAAGTTTATGACTATCATCACAATCAAACTTGCAACCATTTAAAAAATACCTAATTAAATTAATCAATTTGTTCCATAGTTTACAAAAAGAGTTACTTTTCTTTTTGTTGTGATGACAAGGAGACTCCTGGGGTTCCTGAAAATAGTAATTTAACAAAAATCCTCTGGCCTTTTTACTCTTCTAGAACACCCACTGAAATGCTTCCTGCGGTTGAGTGCTCAGTAAAGCAGTGTTAAAAACTAGTGCTTCTCAATTTTTGTGTACATATAAATCACCCTGGAATCCTGTTATAATGAAAGATCTGAGATTCTGCAGTTCTAACAAGTTCCAAGGTAATGATGATGTTTGTCTGAGGACCACATACTGCATAGCAAACCTAGAGACTACTTCATTGTAGAAATCCTAATTGCTCTGGTAGTTATCACAACAAAAACATGATTTGCTTCTTAGTATTGATCACAAATGCTGAGATACTCATGTTCAGTTGGAGCATTTTCTTGAATAAGAAAATCTTAGAATAATGATTTCTTAAAAGCTTTGTGAGACTTTGGAAGTCATCAAATGCAGCTTCCTCATATTATAGTTGAGGAAGTTGAGGGTCAAGGAAGTTGAATATATGCCCAAACTCATAGGGTTATCAGTGCTAGAACCCAGGACTCATGACTACTGCTTTAATAAAGAAACCCTAATTATTTGGCATTTCTATTTATTATAGTCTTCCTGACAAAGAGCCTAAGTATGAGTCAATAATGATTAGAATTTCAGCTTTTGATGCTCACAATAGTTTAAATGACAGCAGTATCTTTGGACTGACTTTCTTAACAGCTAAAACTCACAGTGAGCCACCATCTCCTACAATAACAAGAGTATTCACACATCTTCTTTCTTCTAAGGTCCCCTTGCAGTTTTATTATGGACATTTTATTTCTTAATTTTGAGAACCTGGGGAGGAAAGTGGACAGAGAAATGAATAGGTCATTCGTTAAAAGGCAGGGGTTGAATTTGTAAAAGGTTGTGGCAAAAAAAAGCAACAAATGAGAAAGAGCGAAGGGCATCAATATTGATCTTGCCTCTCATCTTTCCCTCTGTCTTCTTGCTTGCAGGTTTCTATTGTGTAGTCTTTCAAACAACGTAGACTTTATTTATGGTGTGACTGATTTAACCCTACTGGAATAGTCCATCATCTGCTAATTTGGTCCAATTAAAAACTGGTCATAGGGAAAAGCCTGGGAATTAAGCTAATTTGGAAACACAACTTCTGATTAATTTATGTCTTGCTCATTTATATCTCCTCTTTTAAAGGACACTTTTCATGGTGAGGGTTTATATAGGCGTTTTGTTTTTTTTCCCAGATTCCCGAGTTCCTTTCTATGACCACTTAAGTTTGAGTCCCTGAAGAAAGTACAATTGTGCTTTTTCTCCCTTCCTTAAGACTATTGTTAAAACATTTATAGGGGATTGCCTAAGATTTCCTGCTATCCTGAATTGGAAAAGCCCCACTAAACAGCTAGAGCCATCATTTATCAAGCCCTTACACATTGCATGACTCTGTATAGTTTGCATTCTCAACTAATCCCTATAACTCGGAGTTAAGTACTATTATGATCCCTGTTTATAGTTGAGGAGGCTTCAGATTTAATCGTCCAAGTAAAATTATCAAACATTATGAAGCAAGAAGAGACAGTATGGTACATGAACCAGGGTCTGCCTGATCCTAGTAACGACTGATACTGTCACCCAGTAATGAGGCTTTAATGAGATTTATGCCTAGACTAAGTCAAAACTCTGGACAACAACAACAACAATAACAACAACAACAAAATAATTTCCTCCACCCCTAACTTGTTCCTTCCCTCCGCACAAGTTCTTGCAGGCAGGTAGGTGTGCCAGTCCCAGTTATACTTAGCATCTCCCACGCCCTCTGCAATTTTCCCTTTTGCTGCTGGGAGCGTCAGAGAATGGTACTGCAGCTGGTGAGTGGGCAGGTGCAGCCACCATCTGCTCTAGGGAGTCCAAATGCGCAAAAGAACTTCGCACCCAGGACTTGTCCCAGGCACCACGGATTCCAGAACCTGCTGGGGACACGGCTAACCCCGCCCCCTCGTGGTGACGATTGGCTGAACCCTTCCCAAGTGCAAAGCCATGATTAATGAAGACGGCTGTCTTTTCTGCAAGTTTTAGGACGACACATCTCTAAGGGAGTGAGACCCGCCAGGGGTGTGTGAATGGGGGCTTCAGTTCTTCCTGCCCGAAGGGTCCTTGAGAAGCCTGTTTGTTTTTCCCGGCGCTTGTCTCCACCCAGCCCTTCCTCTCACTGGTCAGGACCGGGGGGCGGGTGCGTTTCCATTGGTCAGGGGGCGGTGTCTGTCTGGCCAGGATGAGGGCGGGGCCTCCGCGGCGCTGAGCTTGCCCTTGTGTCTAGTGCGCG